TTGTAAAAAGTCGAATAAACACCACTTTTAGGCCGAAATGTTAAGGGCCGGGGTGGTCCAGCATTTTGGCTGAAAAAATTCAAATATTTAAATAGGCTAGTTTCCTCACAATAAATGTCTCTACATGCCATGAGATCAACCCTGACCCTCATATGCGTTTGAAAGGGGTGTAGGGGCAAATATTGTAAAAAGTCGAATAAACACCACTTTCAGGCCGAAATGTTAAGGGCCGGGGTGGTCCAGCATTTTGGCTGAAAAAATTCAAATATTTAAATAGGCTAGTTTCCTCAAAATAAATGTCTCTACATGCCATGAGATCAACCCTGACCCTCATATGCGTTTGAAAGGGGTGTAGGGGCAAATATTGTAAAAAGTCGAATAAACACCACTTTTAGGCCGAAATGTTAAGGGCCGGGGTGGTCCAGCATTTTGGCTAAAAAAATTCAAATATTTAAATAGGCTAGTTTCCTCAGAATAAATGTCTCTACATGCCATGAGATCAACCCTGACCCTCATATGCGTTTGAAAGGGGTGTAGGGGCAAATATTGTAAAAAGTCGAATAAACACCACTTTTAGGCCGAAATGTTAAGGTCCGGGGTGGTCCAGCATTTTGGCCGAAAAAATTCAAATATTTAAATAGGCTAGTTTCCTCAAAATAAATGTCTCTACATGCCATGAGATGGAACCTGACCCTCATATGCGTTTGAAAGGGATGTAGGGGCAAATATTGTAAAAAGTCGAATAAACACCACTTTTAGGCCGAAATGTTAAGGGCCGGGGTGGTCCAGCATTTTGGCCGAAAAAATTCAAATATTTAAATAGGCTAGTTTCCTCAAAATAAATGTCTCTACATGCCATGAGATCAACCCTGACCCTCATATGCGTTTGAAAGGGGTGTAGGGGCAAATATTGTAAAAAGTCGAATAAACACCACTTTTAGGCCGAAATGTTAAGGGCCGGGGTGGTCCAGCATTTTGGCTAAAAAAATTCAAATATTTAAATAGGCTAGTTTCCTCAGAATAAATGTCTCTACATGCCATGAGATCAACCCTGACCCTCATATGCGTTTGAAAGGGGTGTAGGGGCAAATATTGTAAAAAGTCGAATAAACACCACTTTTAGGCCGAAATGTTAAGGTCCGGGGTGGTCCAGCATTTTGGCCGAAAAAATTCAAATATTTAAATAGGCTAGTTTCCTCAGAATAAATGTCTCTACATGCCATGAGATGGAACCTGACCCTCATATGCGTTTGAAAGGGATGTAGGGGCAAATATTGTAAAAAGTCGAATAAACACCACTTTTAGGCCGAAATGTTAAGGGCCGGGGTGGTCCAGCATTTTGGCTAAAAAATTCAAATATTTAAATAGGCTAGTTTCCTCAGAATAAATGTCTCTACATGCCATGAGATCAACCCTGACCCTCATATGCGTTTGAAAGGGGTGTAGGGGCAAATATTGTAAAAAGTCGAATAAACACCACTTTTAGGCCGAAATGTTAAGGTCCGGGGTGGTCCAGCATTTTGGCTGAAAAAATTCAAATATTTAAATAGGCTAGTTTCCTCAGAATAAATGTCTCTACATGCCATGAGATGGAACCTGACCCTCATATGCGTTTGAAAGGGGTGTAGGGGCAAATATTGTAAAAAGTCGAATAAACACCACTTTTAGGCCGAAATGTTAAGGGCCGGGGTGGTCCAGCATTTTGGCCGAAAAAATTCAAATATTTAAATAGGCTAGTTTCCTCAAAATAAATGTCTCTACATGCCATGAGATCAACCCTGACCCTCATATGCGTTTGAAAGGGGTGTAGGGGCAAATATTGTAAAAAGTCGAATAAACACCACTTTTAGGCCGAAATGTTAAGGGCCGGGGTGGTCCAGCATTTTGGCTAAAAAAATTCAAATATTTAAATAGGCTAGTTTTCTCAGAATAAATGTCTCTACATGCCATGAGATCAACCCTGACCCTCATATGCGTTTGAAAGGGGTGTAGGGGCAAATATTGTAAAAAGTCGAATAAACACCACTTTTAGGCCGAAATGTTAAGGGCCGGGGTGGTCCAGCATTTTGGCCGAAAAAATTCAAATATTTAAATAGGCTAGTTTCCTCAGAATAAATGTCTCTACATGCCATGAGATGGAACCTGACCCTCATATGCGTTTGAAAGGGGTGTAGGGGCAAATATTGTAAAAAGTCGAATAAACACCACTTTCAGGCCGAAATGTTAAGGTCCGGGGTGGTCCAGCATTTTGGCCGAAAAAATTCAAATATTTAAATAGGCTAGTTTCCTCAAAATAAATGTCTCTACATGCCATGAGATCAACCCTGACCCTCATATGCGTTTGAAAGGGGTGTAGGGGCAAATATTGTAAAAAGTCGAATAAACACCACTTTTAGGCCGAAATGTTAAGGGCCGGGGTGGTCCAGCATTTTGGCTAAAAAATTCAAATATTTAAATAGGCTAGTTTTCTCAGAATAAATGTCTCTACATGCCATGAGATGGAACCTGACCCTCATATGCGTTTGAAAGGGGTGTAGGGGCAAATATTGTAAAAAGTCGAATAAACACCACTTTTAGGCCGAAATGTTAAGGGCCGGGGTGGTCCAGCATTTTGGCTGAAAAAATTCAAATATTTAAATAGGCTAGTTTCCTCAAAATAAATGTCTCTACATGCCATGAGATCAACCCTGACCCTCATATGCGTTTGAAAGGGGTGTAGGGGCAAATATTGTAAAAAGTCGAATAAACACCACTTTTAGGCCGAAATGTTAAGGGCCGGGGTGGTCCAGCATTTTGGCTAAAAAAATTCAAATATTTAAATAGGCTAGTTTTCTCAGAATAAATGTCTCTACATGCCATGAGATGGAACCTGACCCTCATATGCGTTTGAAAGGGATGTAGGGGCAAATATTGTAAAAAGTCGAATAAACACCACTTTCAGGCCAAATGTTAAGGTCCGTGGTCCAATTTGGCTGAAAAAATTCAAATATTTAAATAGGCTAGTTTCCTCAAAATAAATGTCTCTACATGCCATGAGATGGACCCTGACCCTCATATGCGTTTGAAAGGGATGTAGGGGCAAATATTGTAAAAAGTCGAATAAACACCACTTTTAGGCCGAAATGTTAAGGGCCGGGGTGGTCCAGCATTTTGGCTGAAAAAATTCAAATATTTAAATAGGCTAGTTTCCTCACAATAAATGTCTCTACATGCCATGAGATCAACCCTGACCCTCATATGCGTTTGAAAGGGGTGTAGGGGCAAATATTGTAAAAAGTCGAATAAACACCACTTTTAGGCCGAAATAAGGGCCGGGGTGGTCCAGCATTTTGGCTAAAAAAATTCAAATATTTAAATAGGCTAGTTTTCTCAGAATAAATGTCTCTACATGCCATGAGATGGAACCTGACCCTCATATGCGTTTGAAAGGGATGTAGGGGCAAATATTGTAAAAAGTCAAATAAACACTACTTTAAGGCCGAAATGTTAAGGGCCGGGGTGGTCCAGCATTTTGGCTGAAAAAATTCAAATATTTAAATAGGCTAGTTTCTTCACAATAAATGTCTTTACATGCCATGAGATCAACCCTGGCCCTCATGTGCGTTTGAAAGGGGTGTAGGGGCAATTATTGTAAAAAGTCGAATAAACGCCACTTTCAGGCCGAAATGTTAAGGGCCGGGGTGGTTCAGCATTTTGGCTGAAAAAATTCAATTATTTAAATAGGCTAGTTTCCTCAAAATAAATGTCTCTACATGCCATGAGATCAACCCTGACCCTCATATGCGTTTGAAAGGGGTGTAGGGGCAAATATTGTAAAAAAGTCGAATAAACGCCACTTTTAGGCCGAAATGTTAAGGGCCGGGGTGGTCCAGCATTTTGGCTGAAAAAATTCAAATATTTAAATAGGCTAGTTTCCTCACAATAAAATGTCTTTACATGCCATGAGATCAACCCTGGCCCTCATGTGCGTTTGAAAGGGGTGTAGCGGCAATTATTGTAAAAAGTCTAATAAACGCCACTTTCAGGCCGAAATGGTAAGGGCCGGGGTGGTTCAGCATTTTGGCTGAAAAAATTCAATTAGTTAAATAGGCTAGTTTCCTCAAAATAAATGTCTCTACATGCCATGAGATCAACCTGACCCTCATATGCGTTTGAAAGGGATGTAGGGGCAAATATTGTAAAAAGTCGAATAAACGCCACTTTTAGGCCGAAATGTTAAGGGCCGGGGTGGTCCAGCATTTTGGCTAAAAAAATTCAAATATTTAAATACCTGTAGTAGTAGTAGTAGTTGTAATAGAATTAGTAGTAGTAGTAGTAGTAGTAGTAGTAGTAGAAGTAGTAGTAGTAGTAGTAGTAATAGTAGTGGTAAAAGTGGTATTAGTAGTTCCAAAAGTAGTAGTTTTAGTTGTATTAGTAGTAGAAGTTGTTGTCGTAGTAGTACTACTATTATTAGGCATATAGTCATAGTCTTAGTCCTGGTAGTAGTAGTGGTAGTAGTAATATCAAAAATTGAAATAACATACACCTGTATAATTATACAAAGAGTAAATACTAATGGTAAAATTTTTAGTCAAGAATGCCCACACGCTCATGTAGTATTGCCTCGTGCAATTTCATTAGACACTGATAGGGTAGCCCTTTCAAAAGTTTCAAGCAATTTTCTCAATAATGTTCTTCTTTTTTTCTCTCAAAGGTAAAAAAATGTGTAGAATTCAAATGCATGAGAAGAGTGTAATATTTTCACATAAGATTGACTTTAAGTCGGACTTAACTATGGCAGGCCATTCATGCCACTGGTTGCTCTCACCATTGGTCTCACAATTATGATCTTTAGATAATATGTTTTCCTTCAATAATGAACTATCAAAAAAGGTCAATTCTGTAGATATGTGACCATGATTTGTACGTCCCTTGAAAGACCAATGCCAGTAAATGGTGAGAGCAAACAGTGGCATGAACGGCCTGCCATACTTAAGTCTAACTTAAAGTCGATCTTAGTCTTTGTGAAACACCACCCGGGAAGGAGACGCTAGAAGAAGTCATGAAAGTATCTGGCCTCATCCAGGTAGATGCTGAAGACAGAAAGGCTTTGCAATAGGCCGTTAGGGAAATGAAATGTTCAACTCAATGGAAAAACGGATGCTGAACGATGATGATGCTAGCTGCTTACCTTTTCTTTAGAAAGTTGATTGTTCCCACCCAAGATGTGCACACTCTTATCCACCACACCCAAAGCACACAGTGAAGAAGGTCGTGCGCTGAGAGCTATGGAAGCGGTTTGGCCCGGTCTTATCTCCCTCCCATCAAGGAACTCCAACGATACCTGAAAGGAACACAAGAAAGGTTGGTATTTGACTCCATGATTGGTCTGAATTCCAGGGGGTGTTTCACAAAGATCCTAAGTTGAACTTATCTCTAAGTTGGACTTAACAATTATGGAAAGCCGTTAGCATCTTTGAAAATATTTTGTAAAACTTATTTTAAAAGGCATAAATGTTGATTCAAATCATCCATATTTTCTATTATCAAGGAGATTTCATGTTCTTGATGTGGAATTTATGAAACTTCTAAAATACTCAATTTTTGCTTTTGAATATATTTTATTATAAAGCTACAAATGGCTCTCCATAATTTTTAACTCCAACTTAGAGTTAAGTTCGACTTAGGATCTTTGTGAAACGCCCCTCTGAGCAGGTTTAAAGCTGCCATACAACCCAAAGCCTGCACATGCACGAAAAGTTCACAAATTTCACAAGTTATATATAGTTTTCATCGCTTTTTTGTCAGATTTTGTTGTAGATGTCTCCATTGTTCAAACCATGCTTCATCTACTTGTTTACTTTTGTATTTCTGTATCCTACTTTTCTTTGATAAACAAATGATTTTAACAACAAAGAATGTCTGTTGTTTGAAATAAAAATCAAACCTTAATAGACAACTACTCTGAAAGAAAGCAGAAAAGTCAGAAAAGCAGACTGGTAAAATTTTCAACGAAATTGGACAAACAAAAAGAAAGTTACATATTTTTGAAAGTTGTAATCACTATAGGAAGTGGCACTTCAAATTGGCTGAATCGATCATGTCACTGTGACGTAATGCTGGAAAACTTTCCTATTTGTTCTAATACACAAAATGACTAAATATCAATTTTTTTAGAATATATAAATGAGGAGGGTCTTCCATTTTAAGATGACCTATAATAATATGTTATCCATAATATATTTTGAGTAGTGCCTCAAGGGAGAAGGCGCTTAGGAGAAAAACAGAAATTAAATATTATTGTACACGACAAATGCAAGAGTTTCCAGTGACTACATCACAATCCACTGACCAAATTGTCAATTTGAGATTCACATAGACACATTCATACATGTAACTCTCTTATTATTGGTCCGATTCATTTGAAAGTAATTCAAAGGTTGGATTGACAATAAATAGGAGTGATTAAGTTTGGTAGATGAAAGTTTGAGGAAGCGTAAAGATGGCTCTACCTGATTTTTGAAAACAGAAGCCATTTTGAAATGAGTGCTTGCACTGACCACCTCGGAATCATTACGGATGTAATAGACAAGGATTTGGCTTTTCGGAGACATCTCGGCGACAGCCTCAAAGTAAAAGACAGTGCTGTTCCTTGTACCATTGGTCCTATAGTCTGGCAACTCGGGCTCAATCGTTTCTACAGACAAAAATTAAAGAAAGGTAAACGTCTTATAAAATAAACATGACCAATTAATGTGGGAACATAATAAATACACATGTAGCACTGTCATAAAAAAAGCTGAATAATAACGCTATTAACAGTCGCAATTGTATAGTGCTTAAAATACGTTTCTCAGCACAGTACATCGTAATAATTATTACCTCGGTCATTGGATTCAAGTGCTAATCCGCACATGGCTGTTGAGTGATATTGCCATTGTAGTTAATATTGATGGCAACGTGACCATCAGTGGTAAGTTTTATGCCACAGGGCCATGATCAGTTTGCTATAAAAAATGCTTGAAAATAAACAATCATTATCATCATTATTATCATGATTATTATCATCAATCCATATAGGCCTACCTACCATAACCATTTCGGTAGGGAGGTAAGGAGTGCCGCCTGAATCGTCGTTGCCTGCATATAAAGAATGGGTACAGGTCCTGGTACCAGTGACAATAAGCTGCAACTTGAGAGACAGGCTCAGAATGAACAACGATATTGATCCAACTGTAACTGCCGCTAGCTACGATTCTTCCTCCAGATATACCTTTGAGAGGAAAGAAGCAGAGATATTACAGAAACAATTTTAAGGAAGTGGATCTATCATATTTTGTGTAACACAAAGGCAGCATAGTCTGGGAAACAGGACACAGGGGCTAAGAGAAAGTAAATGAACTTGTGCCATTCAGAGGCATCCATCTCCTAGACCCTCAGATTTGTCTTTTAAAAAGTCATGGGTCCCTTAGAGCTTTTCTGCTAGCAAATACTTGCTTTCCACTATATAGGCATTGAAGTAACAATCTAGCCATGCACCAACCATATTGTGACTGCCATATTCCATGTCCATTAAGCTGGGCTCCACATAGGCATTTTTTTAAGGGGTCTGGATTAAAAAAATTAGAATCTGTATATGCATGAATGAGCATTAAATGTAAATTTTTTGTAATTTTGGGGGTCACGACTGAGATTTTGGTGGCCTGTGTGTTGAGCCTAGCATTAAAGGGATTGGGTATCTTTGTCTCAGATTCTAAACAAAATTTAGCTCATGCTGCAATCATAACTATAAACCTATAGGTCAGTCGGGAATCCCATGACGTTTACGAGCCTTCGCCTGTCCGATTATCAAGATATTTATGATTGGAATTTGAAATTTCAAAAAAACCGTTTTCCAACGGTTTTTATTACACTACAGTCTATTCGGGAAAATGAGTATGGTAAAATTGGTCACTCAAAGAATGTTACTTTTTTGAGGCACTTCATGATCATTTTGAAGCTCAATTTTTGAAGGGCTTTAATATTGCACCATATCACAGATGCTGATAACACGTAGGGCCATGCATCTCCGATTTGGCATTGTTAAAGGTAATACAAAGTTTTGGGAAATTTTGAAAATTGGGAGGATGGTGATTCTTTACATTTTTGATATATTTGGATGCCCCTGTGGATGTATTATAAGCACTAGAAATTTTAGCCCCTAAAACACTTCTGTTTTCGAGAAAATTTGAATATAAACATTCACCGGTGCTCCCGGTAAATTTTGGTAAATGTCAAATAGCGCCTACGGCCGTATACAATGGTAGCTGTGACCATGAAATTCTCAGTATATGTAGTTGTGATATATTATTTCCAAACGGGAATAGCTAATCGGTCAATTTTAGTCAAGAAACATTGTTTTATGGCATAGTTAATATCTTGACCTTAAGAGGGAGCTATACAATATAAAGAGTTCATTATTTACAATTTCATAACTTTAGACTCTTTATAAGTCAAGGTAAATACTGAGAAGATGACCCACTTAAACCACATACTCTCATTTGTTTCCCTGGTATTCCATGTTACATGCAGCTCCATTTTGTAATAGTGGTTTACAGATAGTACATGTTTGATAATTACTTGTTTTTACATGTACATGTTTTCACTACCTTACCCTATAGAAGAACTCAATCTGTGTTTCATTCTCAGGCAAGGTGAATTCTAGTTGGACAGAAACATTCTGATCGATAGATACTGTCTCTTTGATATCAGAGATTTGCAGGAAGGAGCCACTTGGCGAGTACCATGCATGTACTTGCTTCGAGGATCGGGATGGAGCTTGGATCGGGCCCTCAGATGACTCATCAAGTAGTTCAGCCTGATAAGGGGTGATAAAAAGACAGAAAAAGAACTAAAACAGAATCATGAAGAAAATAGGGCTATACAAAGGCCTGTATGAGCACAACAGATGACTCATCAAGTAGTTCAGCACTTCAGACAATATCTGTATGGAAGGAAGGTGAAAGGTCAAATGGCCAGGTCGCAAGCAAACGGTTTATCTCGGATGCAAAGTGACCGTCTCCAAGCAATAGGGAAAGACCGATTATCTAGTAAATAAAAAACACTCATGTTTACTGTGAGGTTGGGGAATCGTCAAAATGATGTGAAGTTGACTCATCTTGTTGAAAAGCAAAGACACGTAAAAGTTCACAAATTATTTTTCACCTTCACCAGCACCAAACCTCCTCTTTAACTCATAGCCTGCCATAAGGCCGCATGCACGCTATCGCTATAGTGCTTTGTACTGTACATGTGAGAGAGCTATCGCTTGAGTGCTATGTGCGTGCAATGCAGCATTCATATAGCAGTTATTGTTCATGCTAGTTGTGTGTTTTACACTCGCCATTGATAGAACCATCGCGTTAATCAGATTATCTCCAAAACAATCTGGCATGGGGGATTTGGGGCTTGGCACAATGGGGATTAGCCCTGTGGCATGATAAAATACCCCATGGATTAAATTGCTATCGAACCCATTTCGTTACCGTAATTTGGAAGGATGTGGTTGAAGATGTGCGAGGTGTATCTAACACAAAGTCGACTGTGCCATTGGGTTGGGTATCGAGGAGCTGAGCTGGGTAGTTGGGTCGTGAAACTCTGACACGTCTTACACCTGCTGGTGATCCATCAGGACGAGTCACTACAACCTGAAACAAGAAGAATAACATTGGCCTATTATAAGATGGTTAGAAAAATCCCTGCAATCTGATTGGTTAATTACCGTGTAATTAATTTTACAATCCCTACCGACGCACTCAAACCTGTGCATCATTTGTATATTATAAGATGGTTAGCAGAATCCCTGCAATCTGATTGGTTAATTACCGTGTAATTAATTTTTACTGGATGCACGCGATATCAAAGTACAATTTCATGTTAAAGGGAGTACTGTGTACTGGCAAATACTGGTTAACGCCATCTATGTCTTCTTTTGGACAACTGCACGTAAACGAATGGACTTGATTAACGGTAGTCAGCGACTTAATCTCTACATGGTCAGCGTTCACTGCACATGATTGCTGCGGTCGCGTCCTCCGTAGTCACATTACACGTAAAGAAGGCCTAGAGAATCTTGCTTTCACAGGGAAAATTGTGGGAAGAAGGAGGATACTTTTGATGGACAGTCTGCAGAAATTGTTGGAAGAGAGAGAAGTGAAAGAACTGGGAGGGGTACTAATACAGAAGGCTATAGAGTGGTGAAGTGTGACGTCATCAAAAATCTATTTTGAGAATTTCTCAATTTTTTCTTCATATTCCGAAAGAACATCAACAATAATGTCCAAATGTCGAAAACCAATTGAATATGTTAAGTATTGGCTGAGATATGACCATCTGAATGAATATATGTCCTATGGGAACTCAGTGTTACATGCTCTGGCTCCTAACCATTAGGAGCCAGAGCATATAACACTGAGTTTCTATGTGGAGTATACTTATTCAGATGGTCATATCTCAGCCAATACTTAACATATTCAATTGGTTTTTCGACATTTGGACATTATTTTTTATGTTCTTTCGGAAAATGAAGACAAAATTGAGAAATTTTTAAAATAGATTTGTATGACGTCACAGCTTCGGTACTCTATAGCTAGGAGCCGAGGGTTGTGGAACAGCATGATCGCCAAAGTCAAACGATATGGCACTTAGAGAGAGAGAGAGAGAGCATCCAGATTACCTGTCCATGGTATGGTAATAGAGGTTTGAAAACATCAGGACCTCGCATCTCCACTAAGACGTTTTCTGTCTCTATTTGGGTGTCACTGCTGGTGGCATTCATAATCACACCTGCATTTTACAAAATAAATAAGGCAGAACATGATAATAATAATAATAATAATAACAATATTTATAAAGCGCAACATATCCATCTCTAGAGATCCTCAAGGCGCAACATAATACATACACTGAATAATCTACACCATACTTAATAAAACATGGCAATATCTCCATGTACATACAGTGTATATACTGTACAACATAGAATAATAAACATATTCATATTAACATAAGAAAATGAGGTAATCCATGATATCTTTGTACTGTATATTATAAAAAAAACAATACCTACATGTACATGTACGTTTACATTGTTCAATTTAAAATAACAATTATTAACTACCTTAACTCACATTTGCTTCCTTTTAAAGAAAAACTAAAACCTTTTTAGGTAAAAGGAACTTTGCTCATGAATAGCTCTGTTTCAACCAGGATAGAAAAACATAAAAAAGTTTCAGGGAAAAACAGAGGATATCATCTGTCTTGAGTTGTGACAAAAGGTGTTAATGTACATCCATTTCCTTCCTGAGCAAATAACATCAGGAAATGTTTATAACTTGTACTTTTATAAAATGTGAATTACCGGTATACACAGTTTGAGGAGAGCTGCCAAATAGCATCACCATCTTTACACATAAAATGATTATACAGTGAAACCTGTCTATAAAGACCACCCAAGGGAGACAAGGAAACTGGTCTTTATAGGCAGGTGGTCTTTGTAGACAGGTTCCTTTAGTACATATTTCAATGAGAAACCACTTTCAAGGGAAACAAACAACATGGTCTTTGTAGACAGGTGGTCTTTATAGACAGGTGGTCTTTCAAAACAGGTGGTCACTAAAGCAGGTTTGACTGTAATTAATAATTGGATTTGTACAGTGCCTGTTCCGGAGGATACAAGGTGCTGACCTTTAGTCTACAGACAATTAAGAAGAATTGTAGAGACTGTATGGTTTGAGATGTTTTTTGAAGAAGTACTAATTAAAATCTCAGAAATGCAAGGAGTTTGTTCCATAGGCATGGGACAACGGATTGAAAGGAATTGAAGCCAGTCTATTTTTGGGAATAAGGGAACGAGGAGGGAAGGAGATGGTGTAGATTGAAGATTATACTTTGTTTGTGGCCAGCCATGAGGTAGAGGTAAATTAGTGCTATACACGCAGGTACTGTATTGCAGTACGTGTTCAGAGGTAATGGCGCTAATGCCATGTGTGACTTCGGTTTGCCATCTGTTATGATATTGACTTATCTTAAATTGTCTTCTTTTCATTATCAAACTAGATGGAACTTCGACTGCACACAGTCGAAAATGATGCCTCCGTCATAGAGCAATTTTACAAACCAAAACAGAAGAAATTTTTCAAATTCAAGTTCAGTTGTAATCCAACAGGTTCTCAGAATATGTGATTACAAGCTACTTCTCATTATTATAGTACATATATGACCTTTTGATCTTTGACCTCATGACCCTCAAATCTACTCAGTTCATTGGCTCTGCAAGGTACATGTCTTGAGTTTGATGGTAATCCATAAATCTGTTCTAATGATAATGTGAGCACAAGCTATTTTTGCATACATAATGAGCCCTTTGACCTTTGACCTATGACCTTGTGACCCCAAAGTCTAATCAATTAATTGGCTCTGCAAGATACATGCAAGTTTGGCCGGAATCCATCAATCAGTTCTTGTGATAACTCGATTACGAGCTATTTTGTGTACATAATGAGCCCTGTGACCTTTGACCTATGACATTGTGACCCCAAAATCTAATCAATTAATTGGCTCTGCAAGATACATACATGACCAAGTTTGGCCGGAATCCATCTATCAGTTCTTGTGATAACTCGATCACAAGCTATTTTTGCATACATAATGAGCCCTGTGACCTTTGACCTATGACCTCGTGACCCTAAAATCTAATCAGTTCTTCGGCTGTGCAAGATACATACATGAAATATAAAGTAGGGCAGGAATCCATCAATCAGTTCTTGAGATAACGCAATCACAAGCTATTTTGCATACATAATGAGCCCTGTGACCTTTGACCTTTGACCCTGTGACCCCAAAATCTAATCAATTCATTGGCTCTGCAAGTTACATACATGACCAAAATTTGGTAGGAATCCATCAGTCAGTTCTTCAGATAACGCGATCACGAGAACGGGACATACGTACGGACGGACGGACGGACAACCCGAAAACATAATGCCTCCGGCTACTTCGTAACGGAGGCATAACAAAAAGGACCTCAGAGATTTATTATATATATTACAAATGATGCAGGTCTTCTCTCGGCTTTCAATAAGCCTGTGTCCGTCCATTCCAATGCATCATTTCTATATGACACATGGCTACTGTGCTAGTTTGCTTACCTGTGCCTCTTTCTGTAAAGTTAGCGTAGACAGTAAGCACGTCAGCATTGCGAAAACGTAGCCCTGGGAACCTTTCTGATAAATCGGCTTGAAAAGTAATGTCCTTGCATCCTGTGTTCTCATCAGCTTCCTAATTATCATACAAAGATCATAACATTTATTAATGCACACAGATTATTGCAGAGATTACGGATAGAGTAACATTTATCAATATACACAGAAAACACAATATACATTGCAGAGGTTAATAGGAATGATGAATGCTAGAATAGGAAGATGGAATCATCTTGTAGAGTTACTGATTGATGGTCTGTTATTTCATGATCCTGCACGTGGAAATAATATATAAGATTGTGATGTAAACTGATGCATGGTCACCCTCTGCAGGCAGTGTTGATTGGCTTCTTCAAGCCATTGCTGGTCATGCCTAAGCATCAATACAGAACTAAGCTAAGAAAGATAACCGACAGTCTTTTTCAAGACTACACTACACACCCTCAAGGACTCCTCATTCCTCCTTCTCTCTCACATGGTGCACCCGCAAGCCTACTGTATATAATACAGAGTATGAACCCCCCCCCCCCCCGACACTTTATAAACTTACCGATCACTTATGATCATAATAGGTGACAGCGGTGGGATAAAAAGCAGAGTCATCTATATTAATATACATGTGCATAGTTTGGCCAACGCAATTCTGTCATGGCACAAAATGGCAAATACAGCTTTGACGGGCAAGCAAGAAACAAAAGAATGTGTGTCATGTTATGACCAACTGATTCTAAGTTGGCCAAACTCTGTGTATAGATGGCTCGATCTGATTCAAAGCATCAAAGAGTACACCAACTTAAAGATGAAGTTGAGTTCTGGTTATGCGCTTGCATTGTGAAAGAAACTGTGTGGAATCGACCAGAAAAGGTCGATCATCTAGCATATAAGATTTTGTGTGTATTGCAAGTCTACGCGGCTATAGCTACCCGAAGCTAAAAACAAAGACATTATAATATACAATTTCTCACAGGTTTCACTGCAAACCGCTGCAAAAACAAGTACATACTTGGTTATACGGTGCGGTGCGGGCGCGTGTGCGTGTGCGTGAAGTTAGCGAAAGTGTATATTATAACGTCTTTGTATTTAGGAAAAATACTCCAAAAAAGATAAGAAAATTGACACAAAACAGGTGAGAAAGATAACGACTTTGAAATCATGACCTTTATCGTTGAAGATTTAGTGGATTTTTTGTATGTTATATATTTTTTTTAATTGTAGGGTATTATTCACGCGCGAGTCACGGGTAGTTAGCCGCGTAGGCTGTCGGCGCCAGAGTATATGGGTACACTTGTGAACTAGCGTCAAATTTTCATCATTCTCTCTTCCCTCCACACCATGTGTCACAATGACATACTTATGAAAAGGGAACTGATGTCACCCCACTAAAGCATAAAAGATCAGTCACTTAATAATGAAGTTAGATATCCTTTGTTGATTTTGTGACCTGACCAGCAGCTTGAAGAGGCCGATGCAGAGTACAACACTGTCCGCAAAGGGCAAAGGTCAATTTACAACAAAACATAGCTGCCACCTGATACGCCTAAAATGAGGCAAGGAAACGCTTTGGATCCATGTTCCTTTTATTCAGGAAGCAAACTTTTCAGTTGAGTCCTGCTAATACCATGTAGCTCTCAGGTTTCTTTAGTGAACATCTTATTCGCTTCACTTTGCTGTATTTACCTATACGCTATTAGGCCAAATAAAAAAAATAAAAACATGTTTAGCGTCCTGTTTTTTTGAAAAATAGGAAGGAGGCCCTTTTTTTTCTTTTCAAAATGGCCGCTCGTTACATTTCTCTAACAGTCTGGTTTTTTTTCTTCAAGATGGCCGCCGACATTTTATTAATTAAAACAAAAAAATCAGAAATAGATTCATTTTAGCAGTGTTTTTCATGTTTTTTTTCTTTAAAAAAATTTTAAAAAATAAAAATAGGAAGTGGCCCCCAAAAAGGAAGCGGGCGGAACGCTAAACATGTATATTTTTTTTAATGGCCTTACATTGCTATTCGCCACCTACCTTGACTATTTGAGGGAGGTGGTGAATAACAATGTGCTGAGGCACAGGTATTAAAGGTATCGTTTAACAATTTTAAATCTGAGATGCATGGCTCTACGTGTTATCAGTGTCTGTGATATGCATGGTGTAATATTAAAGCCCTAAAATGCGCTTCAAAATGATAATAATAATAATAATAATAGCCTAATAGTCCACTCCAAATTTTATTAACCGAAACGGAAATTCTTTTTGCCCAAGTGATCGTGAGCCCGGCAGCCCACTGAGCAGCGCCAGATCGACGTTGCTCTATCCCTTATTGTTGACGCCAAACAGGGTAGCAACAACTCCCATCTTTTAACGTCTTTGGTATGACGTGACTACGCGGCCGGGGTTCGACCCACGACCTCCCGGTTGTGAGGCGGACGCTCTACTGACTGAGCCAACACTCCGGTGCCTCAAAAAAGTAAAAACCTTTGAGCGACCGGATTTACCATATTCATTGTCCCCAATAGACTGTAGTGTTATAAAACGTTGGGAAACGAAAAATGAAATTTTGATTTCCAATCATATATATCTGGATAATCAGACAGGCGATCGGCTTGTAAAAGTTATGGAATTCCTGACTGACCTTAAGGTCTATAATTATGATTTCAGCATGAGCAAAATCCAGGATTTTGTTTCAGAATCTGAGCAATGTTACTGAGTCACTTTAAAGATCAGTGAGGTGAAGCAGATTTTTTAATTTTTATTTCAAGTAACTCACCTCAACGACAGTTACGATTTCCCTGACTTCCTCGGAGCTTGTGCCATATCTGAATGCCAAAGCAATAATTGCAGATATGCGCCCCCTTACCGGCTGACCGTATGTATACCTGTTGACAAAACAAACAATTTTCTTTTAGCCTTGTCAAACATTCGTTAAAGGTAAAGACCAGTATTGGAAACGCCCCAATTTCAAAAAAATGAAATGGAAGCTCTCATTACCAATCATGTGAAAGAATATATTTTGACTAATACATGATGATAAAAAAATTTGCCGGGAAACCACCTACTAATTCATATATTTGGTAAATTTGTTTCTCTCATGGCTGTGAGAGATATAGGGTAGTCCCATATATATCTTTCTGTGTATAGTGCTTGTAACTTTACGAAGAATGGGCCAAATTTCTTATCATTTTGATGATTCCAGAACCTGCAGATGCTAGATGCTAGATGATCAACCTTTTCTGATCGACTCCACAACGTTTCTTTCACAATGCAATCGCATGACCATAACTGGTCTTTACCTTTAACTGCATGAGTATCCATTGTATACTTAAATCATAATTGTGTAACACTGTCATGTAAGTCCTAAGTTTGATTAAATTAGTTGCAATATAGATATCAAGTGAATACATTTCGTCTACAAGAGCAAATATAAAAAAATTTGCCGGAAACCACCTACTAATTCATATATTTGGTAAATTTGTTTCTCTCATGGACTGTGAGAGATATAGGGTAGTCCCATATATTCTTTCTGTGTATAGTGCTTGTAACTTTACGAAGAATGGGCCAAATTTCTTATCATTTTGATGATTCCAGAACCTTGCAGATGCTAGATGCTAGATGATCAACCTTTTCTGATCGACTCCACAACGTTTCTTTCACAATGCAATCGCATGACCATAACTGGTCTTTACCTTTAACTGCATGAGTATCCATTGTATACTTAAATCATAATTGTGTAACACTGTCATGTAAGTCCTAAGTTTGATTAAATTAGTTGCAATATAGATATCAAGTGAATACATTTCGTCTACAAGAGCAAATATTTGTAATTAAATTTTTCGCCCCCCCCCCCCCCCACAAAAAAAAAAAAAAAAAAAAAAAAAATTACAGGGGAATTTTGGAAAATAATTTTTAAAAAGTTACAAGCAAAATGATTATTATACTTTGTTTACAGGAATCAAAATTCATCTTTGTTTTTTTTAATTCATCTATATTTACGAAAAGATAACAAAGGTTTTTGTTTGTTTACATAGCGCAGTTTAATACTATATGAATTTACTCTACTGCGGTAAATACACCCACCACATATCTGTTTAAAATCAGTCAAAAAGTGCAGGCTCCTCCAATCAAGTCCGCATTTTTAATTTTGCTGAAATAGGCGACTTTTGAGGCGTGACTGATAAGTTAATAGAGTGACTTTAATGACTAATTAAAGAGTCAAGCCATTCACACAGAGTGACGAAACAAACATACACTGTGGTTCCAAAATGAAATTAAATGAAAATCCATGCATGTGACATCTGGTAGAATGAGGACTTACTTGGCACAGATCACCACTGTGAATGGTCCCCTGATCACCCATGAACAAGTAAGATGGAGTTTGATCGAAACTTCAAACTTGGCAGTACTAAAAATAAACAATAGACAGATGTAAAAAAATAAAAATACGTCTCAAACACTCAAATCAATCATTTTTCATTCACTAGAATCCTGAAAAAAATCAGTAATGCAGATACAAAAAACTCACTTGATATTGACAAATATAACGGTATGGAGTCTTGATTTGTGCCCTACAATATGCATTTTTAAGATAAATTGAAGGTCAATTCCAAGCTTGGTTGCAATTGCAGAAAAAAATTGCCAAAGTATCAGGCCAAATTTGCTTTTCTTACTCAAGCATCTCCTACTTTTTGTTTTGTTCTTTCTTTCTTTTTCAATTTCTTTTCTTTCTTCTTTTCTTTCTATCTTTCTTATATATATATTTTTTGTAATTATTATTATTATTATTATTATTTTTTTTTAATTTATTTATTTATTTTAATTTATTTATTTTATTTTATTTATTTTTTTTTTGGGGGGGGGGGGGGGGGGGTGTGGGGGGGCTTCTCAGTCAAATGATATTGAGCCGAACCAATCAATGTGCGTAATAAGCCAGTTTACGGTTGCAGTCTGAGCATGAGCAGATAAAGGTCATCTGTACCAAAAAGGTAAAACCCACAGAGATGAATACTGGATGTGCTCATGACAGTTATGTAACATTATTCATGGTATGCACCAACGGTACATTCCAAGATACGCAGGTGGAAGTATTCTTTTCAAGAGTGCAAACAAAAGGTATTCATGAAGCACATCTACGAATTTGGCAGTTATTATTCTAAGATGCTCAAAGTGGAAGTTCTCCATGTGTAAAAGATCTGTGGATATTTGGGTCATTATTTGTTACCATGTGCTATCTGTAAACTGACATCCTTATAGCCCTGACTATGGTCAA